CAACTCCCGCTAGTTAATGCGTTGCCGCAGGTGCTGCTGGTCTAGATAAAACGGATCTGATTCTGTAAGCTCCCGACTTTCTGCTACTGAAATGAATGCTTGGTGGGTTTCACCATGAAAGCAAACGACACTGGGCATACGGGGGGTTTGCAATAACAATTACTTTTAACTAACGGTGACAGAAGAAGTGACAAGTATGCCCCGAACAGAGGCAGCCCCGGCGAAATGAAAAAGAGAGAGGGGAAAAAGGCCCAGCGGCACAGGAGCACTTCACCGTGGGCTGGAACAAGACAATCAGAAACAAAGTCAGCCGCCCACCCGGACAGGGTGCTTACACTGGCAAGGCCTCCAATCTTGTTTGAGAGAAATAAAAATCGGAGGAATTGTGGCAGAGCCCTATTATAACCCTGGTCGGGGGACAAGGATAATACCGGGCTACAGGTTTTTGTGCAGCGGTGAGAGATGCTGCACGTGCACTTTAATCCACAATGGAAGCGCGGGAGGGACCCACATACAGCAGGGGGCTTCTCCCAGAGCGTTCCTGCCAGCACCAGGCTTTGTGCTGAGCCTTGTTAAAAGTTAGAGCCCGCGTCCCCTGGGGGAGGCAGGAAGGCAGCAGCTAATGGGTTTTCCCAACTGTTCCTGGAGCCGCCACTGACACAGAGCAGGCTGGGCCTGGTGGTCAGGCTGGTGGCTGGCCTCGAGAGAACGCAGTGACACTGATTCAGGATTTGGTTTAATGCAGGCTCTGGCCGAGAAGGAAAAATCTTCAGGAAGTTTCCGGATAGAGGAGAGAAAGATCTGGCCTGCAGTACAGTGAACTTTCTTCCCTTCTGTCACTGGAAGACACCCACATCCAAACCTCATCCTGTAGGCCCCGTACAACCTCTAGAAGATTTTCTCAAAGAATGAATGTGCTCCTTTTTAAAATGCCACGTTTTCCTCTGGAAATGCTTCCTAACTCTGGTGCAAGATCAGAGTGACACTTCCTCGCTACTTTCATCCTCACTTCTCGAATGCCCACTGATGGAGAATCCAAAGGGAAAGACACAACTAACACCCTTCTTTCAAATTCTGTCCTCTCACAAAGGTGCCGGCAATAAATAACATCTTCCAGTTCGTCCAAAGGTGCCATCAACGGCCAGGCGTTACCATGGCATTTCGTGATCAACGCCGGTCTCCTCAGATGCTCCCACGACCGACCACTACAGCACTCATTTGCACAACACTCTCACGACTAAATATAGAGGAAAATGACAAAAGCAAATGTCACATAAACCTATTTTAATACTTAAAATACCCCCAACAATGCTCCTCACTTCAACATTCTATCCACAGAGTAAGAAATAAATCACCCTAAAAATACCTGTATAACCTCAGGCTAAAGGTGAGTTCCTGAACCGTGGCTGGGTCCTTGGCAACCAGCAACGCACATTCACACCTTACCCAAGAGGGACTGTACCCTGAGACGGAGGCCCTGGAGGACACAGGAGTCAAGACAACAGCACTGTCTCTCTCGGGAGAGAGCATAATGGACAGAACAGCAGGGTGTGGGATAAATGGAAACTACTATAAAATACACAGGAGGTAGTGGACAAATACCATGGGGAGATCTGTGGGTGGAGGTGGTTAAGGTGGAGAGAGAGACGCAGTTTGGGCTGGACCTTCCTTGAGTTTGAACAGAGGGAGAAGGCGTCCCTGGCAAGGTGGCCAAGGACGAGGATGGGAACCGTGCAGATAAGAGTGTCTGGGGCCACAGAGCAACCATAGAAGAATGGAGAATGGCAGGTGCTGGGAAGATCACCTACATGGAGCTGAGGGTCTAAGTACAACATGGAGTGGGGGTAGTGCCAGATGGGGTGGGAAGGGACTTCGTATGGAGGACTTGAGCAGCCTGGATTTTGTCCTTCAGAAAACAAGGATGCAACGAAGGATTCATTTCCAAGAAGAGCAGAGCTGCACACTCAGAGAGGTGCCGAGCCTGGCCACAGGGCCACTCTACGGTTCAGCTGCAGAAAGGAAAGCGTTCATTTCACATATTTTCGGAGACCGCCAGGCAACTCTGCTTAATAGCCATAGCCTCTTGCTGCGTGCTGGGGTCAGAGATGAGTGACATCTAGTTCTTGCACAGGAGCAGCAAGCATGATGAAGGCGGTGCATGCACAGGGCTGTGGGAGCAAGGGTGCAGCCTGCAGAGGTGAGGACCGACTTCAGACACTGAGGAGGTCAGCTGGGCAAAGAGGGACACAGGAGGGTCAGCAAGGTCTCTGCATCCCCCTCTCCCGTACCCTGCCCCCAAACCACTGGGGTCTGCAGGAATGAAACGAGCACAGCAGGGCGGGCCAGACTCAGCTCTGCTGCTGCCCATCAGACAGCCCTGCCCTCGGAGAGGTCCAGCAGGGCCACTCTGCAGAGCCACAGAGAGAGGAGGTGGACTGTGGGCTTTTTCTCCCTCTGTGTCTATAAAGTACTTGGCAGCCTGGCGTCTTGGATGGCCTGAGCATGCACCCAAATCAATTAAACATTGGGTCAAACAAGCACACCCCGACTTCCTTGTTAATTTCAATGTTTTTAAGTTGAAAAAACCCAAAAGGATTTTGTAAAAGTGATATTTAGGAATGTTACCTCCTGTGCCTAGGCAAGCTCCATTCTACTACCTTTTGAAATACACCCTTGGGGCCAGCGCTGTGGCATAGTGGGTAAAGCCACCACCTGCACTGCCAGCATCCCATATGGGCGCCAGTTTGAGTCCTGGCTGCTCCACTTCCGACCCAGCTCTCTGCTATGGCCTGGGAAAGCAGTGAAGATGGCCCAAGTCCTTGGGCTCCTGCACCCACATGGGAGACCCGGAAGAAGCTCCTGGCTCCTGGCTTGTGGCCTTCTGGGGAGTGAACCTGTGGAGGAAGACCTCTCTTTGCCTCTGCTTCTCTGTAACTCTGCCTTTCAAATAAACAAATAAATCTTTTAAATATATATATACACACATATACCCTCACAGAGCTGCTCTTTTAACACAACGTGGGGATGTTACAATTGCATTAGACCTAAGTATTTTTATTATAATTCTTGATTGGGAGGGAGGGAGGAAGAACAGATCCCCTATCTGCCTGTCTACACCCCTAAATGCCCAAAATGGCAGGGTATGGACTGAAGCCAGGAACCAGAAACTTAATCCAGGTCTCCGACATGGGTGGCAGGAACCCAACTGCTTGAGCCATCATCACCGCCTTCCAGGGCCTTCCCTAGGAAGCTGGAGCTGAGTACTAAACCCAGGCACGTGGATACGGGACATGGGTGTCTTAACTGCTAGGCTAAACATCCACCCGGGGTCTCCCACGCTCCGTTTTTGTAAGTCACAAGCCAGGTGCTGCAGCTAAACTTTGTGGGTGGCAGAACGTTCTTGATGACAAACGTGGGCTCCAGTGAGGGAGCCTGGGGCTAGAAGCAGGACACACTGGCTCCTTCTTGCAACTCCTTTTGCTGCTCCTTGCCACCACCTAGGCACCAAACCAAACAGATGGAAGCCCCTTGAAACAAACATTTGCCAAGACGGGCAACAAGATTAGGGTTTCCAAACAAGTTAGGAAGGGCCCTTAGCCTTCACAGTAGCTGATGTATAACCAGCACACTTGCTCCTTGGAGATAACATGCAAAAGACACACAAACGCCCCTGGACCACGAGCCTCCGAGGCTTTGTCTCTCTACCAGCCCCTCTGTTTATTCAGAGCCTCTCTTTTTCTTACTTAAACTTTCCTTCTTCTACCCTCACTGTTGTGTCCGGTCTCCTAAATTGTCTCCGACACCAGGACAAGAACCCAGACTCATCTCAGCAGCTCTGCAACAACAGTGCTCCCCTGAACACAAGAAAGAGCTAGAAGATACTCCACGTCAAAACCAAGCTTCCTCCGACACAGTCTCTGCTGAAACCTCACAGAGTTCACGGCGCTCAGGGCAGAACAAAGACGGACAGAATCTTTTAGAATGTGAGGGATTTTTCTTTTTCCAATGACACAAAACCCAAGAAATATTCCATAAATATAAACAGTTCCTGAATGAGTTAAAAAACAGAATTCCTACCCTTGGCTCAAAACCAACTTTCTCCTCCTGCTGAGCTTTTAAAACCATGCAAGGCTGGGGCTGCAAACAGCAACTGCCTCTGTTCCTGGAACTGTCGGCAGAGCATTTTTCAGCGCCATCCCTACACAATCACCGCCACAGGGAGGAACGCTGGCAGGGTGTCAGCCAGCACCCTCCGCCCTGGAGAGTCTTTCCTGGCACGCACAGAAAAGGCTCCCACAGCCCAGTCGTGTCTCCTGTTGTCATGGATTTTTTTAAAAAAAGATTCATTTTATTTATTTGAAAGAGTTACAGAGAGAGAGGTAGAGACAGAGAGGTCTTCCATCCATTGGTTCACTCCCCCAATCGCTGCAACTGACCAGAGCTGAGCTGATCTGGAGCCAGGAGCTTCGACCTGGTCTCCCACGTGGGTGCACAGGCCCAAGGCCTTGGGCCATCCTCCACTGCTTCCCCAGGTGCATTAGCAGGGAGCTGTGTTAGTAAAATGGAGCAGTTCTGACACCATCCTAGGCTCTAGCCCCTGCCACTGCTGGAAGCCAGGTAGCCACTTGGCCCAACCACCGGTGTCAGCCCCAGTGTCAGCCCCACCCCACATCCTAAGGGGATTTGCTGCTCCTGCTTCCCTGCCCGCCCTGCAGCAAAGTTTTAAAAGGACCTGTTCCTGAATACGTGGCTCTCTTTCTCTCCATCTCCTGATCTCTCTCTCTCTGGATCTCTCTCTTATACTCTCCTTCTCTATTTTCCTTCTTCACCCCTTCCCTCCAGTCTGTGAGGTTTCCCCCAATAAACCCTTTCCCTTACTCCGGTGTTTGGTGTGTTTTGTAGCGGGGCCTTACAAGCTGGATCGGAAGTGGGGCAGCTAGGACTCCACCATCGCCTGCTGCAGGTCGGGGCTTGAATGGCCCTGTTGTCATGGATTTCAACAGGACTCCTTTCAAGAGCCAGGATCTAAAATCCTTGGGGCTGAAGTAGGCAGGCATATAGGTTAAAATTAATTAGGTTTGTGAGCTGGAAGACCACGCCTTCGCCACGCCCCTGTGTGACCTCATGTCCCTACCTGGCCACACCTGAGTGCCCACCAGCCAATCAGGTTAATTAACCACTCCCCTTTGGAAGCGGGTTAAAAGCCTGGGACATGGTGTGTCTGGCCTTCTCTTCGGCCCTGGCCTCTTCCCAGGATGCAGCTTGCTGTAACCCTGCACCTCCAGGGCACACGGCCTTTGGGCCACGTGCTCTAGGCTTCCTGGCCTAGATACTCCTCCATGTGGCTGGTTCCTGGTGCTCGGTATGAACCCCTATTTACCTCTCTCTCTTAAATAAAGCTCTCACTCTCCTATGCATCTTTCTCACTAAATAAAAGCTTAAAATGTACCATGCTGCCTTGTTTATCTGTGCCAGTATTTAGAATTCTAATCTAAATATTAGGCAAGAACCCTCTCGGGCTTATTAATACTGGGGATTTAGTAATAAGCCCAGGGTGAAATCGTATGGCACCCCAAATTCTGGTAGCATATGTGGCAGCCCAGATAGCACTTTTGGGGAACTTTAAAGGGCCACATTTTCAGGTAAAATTTAGGGGGTCATGTCCGATTTCAGGGTTACTATCTGGCTCCCACAAAGACCTGCATCTTCTTTGGCAGCTATATTCTCTTTTTCCTCTTCTTCCCCCAGGAAAGGCCCTTGTCTTCCAGCCTGGTGCCCTCCTTGTTTGTCCTCTCCATCACGGGACTCTGTCCGTATCCTCTGGGCACCACAGGCCTTGTGCATCCCAGGGTCCTGGCCTATACCCAACCATGTCTTTGTTATCACAGGTAAGTGTTTGTTTTGGTCTTGGGGGCCTATAAACTGGCCAGAGATGAATATCAGACCCACACTTTCCTACAAAAAGCTAGTCCGATCCACTTTAATAACACACAAAAATACTTCTGCTTTGCCATCTGAAACCTTCCACTAAACATACAAGATTTTATGTTAATACATTGGCAAGATTTTAAGATTTCTGATTGAAGATCCTGCAGGGTGCAGGGCCAATGCATGGACCAGAAAGCCAAGTTGTTTCCTGGACCTTGGAGGCTTTTTGCAGGAATTTCCTGCTACGCTGCATATTTCTGTCCTTCAGAGAAGTCTTAAAGAGACCGGATTTCCTTCTGTTCTATTGTGTCCCCGTGAACGCCTTTGCAATTGAAAAGGAGGCCACCGAGGGTGGCGGGAAGGGAGTCAGCAGAAGTCACACAAAGTGAGGTGGGTGGCTTTGTGACTGGTTACCGCGCTAATGAGGCCAAGGTCACAGGTTCAGCCCTGAAAAGGCAGGCACTTCAGTCAATTCCCTGCCGGAGAACTGCACCCCTAAACTACTGCGGATTTTCTAGAAATCCAGAGATGTGAGGGTTGGAGGTGTGGGTGGGAAGGGGGATGGTAGCATGCAGAGGCTGACAGCACTCGTCCCTGAGAGGGCCTCCATCTGGTCCCAGTACAGGCCACCGGTGGGTGGGAGTGCATGGGGTGCATGGGGAGGCGGCTAAGGGGCCAGGCTGACCAGAAGTAAGTGCACAGTCAGAATTTGGTCAGGAACAGTCAGGGTGCCCTGGCTTGGGTCTATCTAGTTCCTCTGGAGGGGCCAGCGCTGTGGCGGAACAGGTAAAGCTGCTGCCTGCAGTGCCAGCATCCCCTGTGGGAGTCCGGCTACTCCACTTCTGATCCAGCTCCCTGCGATGTTTTGTGAAAGCAGAGGAAGATGGCCCAAATCCATGGGCCCCTGCACCCACATGTGGGAGACCTGGATGAAGCTCCTGGCTCGACTTCAGCCTGGCCTAGACCCAGCCATTGTGGCCATTTATGGAATGAACCACCAGATGGAAGATTTTCTGTGTCTCTCCCTCTCTCTGACTTTCAAATAAATAAATCTATAATTTAAAGATTCCTGGAAAAAATGGAATTAAAAGACAAGCATATTTGGTGCAAAAATTGTGAAATACTTGTGCAGAATGAATTACATTGTTTTCACGAAATTTTTGGAGACCCGCCCCACCGTGGATATCCAAAGATGGACTGCCAAATCTAGAGAGAGTGCTGTCTGTGGAAGGAGCAGGAAAGGAGATGTGACATTTAAAAAAACCACACTGGCCTGTACACACCAGGGGGAGGCCTGCCCTGAGCTGAGACCGGAGGTCATCCAGACTCTGCAGCTAAGGTCAAAAACTCTGAGCGTATGTGCGTGTGTGCGTGTGTGTGTGTGTGTGTGTGTGTGCAGGGGGCAGGGGGAGTGCACTTAGTTATATGTACTCCAGGATTTATAAAGGATGTTTATCATCATTCCCACTTCCTTGAGAGGCAAAAACGAGGTAAACATTCATAATCATTTCACATTTTCTTTTTACATTAGCAGGAATAAAAAAAAGAATGTTAATCTAAGTCCAAAAAGGTAAGTCTATAACACCAAAAGAAAGTAGGAACTCTCTTTGTAAATCTCCATTTCAAATTCTAAAACAGGCAGCTTCACTGTCCCAAGTCCTGAATGTCAGGTTCCTGCTGAACTGCAGCACTGCACCCTGGATCTTCCTGCGGAATTTCAGGCTGTTCTTAGTACTTTTAAAGAATCTGGGGGCCAGCGCTGTGGCACAGTGGGTTAAAGCCCCAGCCTGCCGCACCGGCACCCAGCTGCTGCTCTTCAGATCCAGCTCTCTGCTATTGCTGCTGTAGGCAGGCATACAAAATAAAACTGATTAGGTTTGTGAGCCGGAAGGCCACACCCAAGCGACCTCATGCCCCTACCTGGCTACACCTGTGTGCCCACTGGCCAATCGGGTTAATTAGCTACTCCCCTTCAGAAGTGGATTAAAAGCCTGGTCCCCCCCCCCCCCGCCCCGCCTTTCTTCTTTTGGGCTCTTTGCCATTGTGGGCTCTGCAGGCATGTGGCCTCTGGACCACCTGTTCCATGCTTCCTGGCCTGCATGCTCCTCCACGTGGCTGGCTCCTGGTACTCAGTATGAATCCAGATTTCCCTCCTTTATATAGGGCCCTCACTCTACTACACATTTATCGTGCTGCCTCGTTCATTTATGCCAGTATTCAGAATTCTCTGAGTATTAGGCAAGAACCCACACAGGCTTATTAATACTGGGAATTTATTAATAAGCACACAGTGATATCGTATGGCATCGCAAACTCCGATATCACTATGGCCTGGGAAAGTAGTGGAAGATGGCCCAAGTCCTTGGAGCCCTGCACTTGCATAGGAGACCCAGAAGCTCCTGGCTCCTGGCTCCCTATCAGCTCAACTCTGGCCATTGCGGTCATTTGGAGAGTGAACCAGCAGAAGGAAGACCTCTCTCCATCTCTGTGGCTCTAGCTCTCTCTGTAACTCTGTCTTTCAAATAAATCAAATAATTCTTCAGGGCCAGCACCACGGCTCACTAGGTTAATCCTCCGCCTGCGGCGAATAATTCTTCAAAAGAATTTTCTGACAGGATGACAAGTGTGCTGTCTGCTTATCCTACAAGAATACTGTCCAGGGGGACAGGTAGCACCAGCTGCACCAAAACTTTCACTCCTGACCAATTAAACTTCTGCAGCAAGAGGCCTGGAAGAATGGATGTGTTTAAGTAAAGAACACTGATGCCGACCAGACCATGTGGACACAGACTCGAGTCCAAACATCACAAACCCACCAAAGGACCACAGCCGGGAGCTCTTTTATGGTTTATGATGGAACTACTCACACAAACACAAGAGTACATGGGCTCCCATGCAAATTCCAGAGTGTCCTAATAGAGCCAACACCTCCGAACCCATGTAGGCCGGCAGACAGCTGGGCCAACTGGGTTTTCAAACTTTTCAGAAACTCGGAGTGGACATTTTCCTAGCAGTTACAATGCCCACAGCCCTCGGTTTGATTCCTGCCTCAGGCTTCTGAATCCACCTTCCGGTTAACGCAGAATCTGGCAGGCACCAGGTGGTAACTGAGTTCCCGCCACCCACTCTGGGGACCTGGATGGTGTTCCTGACTCCTGGCTTTCGCCTGCTGCAGAAGGCAGCAAGGAGTGAATCTGTAGATACGAGCTTGCTCGCTCTCTGCCTCTCACATCATTTTTTTTCCCTTTAAGATTTATTTATTTAAAAGTGAGAATTACACAGAGAGAGAGGAGAGAGATAGAAAGAGAGGTCCACTCCCCAATTGGCTGCAACGGTCGGAGCTGTACAGATTCGAAGCCAGGAGCCAGGATCTTCCTTCCTCCAGGTCTCCCATGCGGGTGCAGGGGCCCCAGGTCTTGGGCTATCTTCTACTGCTTTCCCAGGCCATAGCAGAGAGCTGGATGGGAAGTGGAGCAGCCAGGTCTTGAACCAGCACCCATATGGGATGCTGGCGCTCCAGGCCAGGGCGTTAACCCACGGCGCCACAGCACCGGCCCCCATTTATTTATTTTTTTATTAAAAAGTGGTTATTAAAAAAATCCTTTCTAAAACAATGCATTAGTTTGTTAAGCTACCTGGTGGGGAGGGGAACCAAACGAAAACAGGTGATATAACCTGTGTTCACCAAAAGGGCTATCAGGTGGATTAAATCTCTGGTCTCCAGTGAACCACACAGCAGGTTTAGACAGAATTAAGTCCAGGTGAGTCACACAGTAGGTTCAGGCCAAAGGGTCACAGGAAGGAAAATCACTCTAAGCAGGAAGATTTGATTCCTTCCCTGAAGGTCACAGACTGGCCCACAGGAAACACTCAACAAATATCTGACCCAGGGCAGCGCTGCGGTGCAGCAGGTAAAGCAGCCAGCTGCTCTGCCAGCATCCCCTATGGGCGCCGGTTCCATCCGGCTGCTCCACTTCCGATCCAGCTCCCTGCTAATGTGCCTGGGAAAGCAGTGGAAGATGGCCCAAGTGTTTGGGCCCTGCACCAACATGGGAGACTAGGGAAGCTCTTGGCTCCTGGCTTTGGCCTGGCCTGGCCCAGCCCTGGTTGTTGCAGCCATTTGGGGAATGAACCAGCGGATGGAAGCTCTCTCTGTCTCTCCCTCTCTCACTGTAACTTTTATTTATTTTATTTTTTTTTAAGATTTCATTTATTTATTTGAGAGGCAGTGTTACAGAGTGAAAAACAGAAAGGAAGGTCTTCTCTCTGCTGGTTCACTCCCCAAATGGCTGCAATGGCCAGAGCTGCACCGATACGGAGCCAGGAGCCAGGAGCTTCTTCTGGGTCTCCCACGCGGGTGCAGGGGCCCAAGGACATCTTCCACTGCTTTCCCAGGCCACAGCAGAGAGCTAGATCAGAAGTAGAGCAGCCAGGACTAGAACCAGCACCCACATGGGATGCCAGTGCCACAGGCAGAGGATTAACCCACTGCACCACAGCGCTGGCCCTGCTGTAACTTTTTCAAATAAATAAATCTTTTAAAAATTTTTGACCCAAAAATATGTGAAATTCAGGCCAACACTCAGTCGCCTTCTGCATAAAATAGGGTAAGGCCCTGTCTACCCCAGCCATGCATGGAAGGTCCAAAATAAGAATCCCGAAGCCCTTTATGCGCTGCGAAGAGCAGTATGATTTAAAGGAACGTCATTTTATATATGGGATTTCAGATTTTTTTTTTTGATGGACAGGATTTTGTGCAACTGCTTTGGGGCGGGAATGGCATTAGCTGGCGGCTTTAACTCACCAGGGTTTGAATTTCACTTCAGGAGCTCCTGCTGCTGTTCCTTCTCTTTCATCTGAAATCGCTTCCAAATGAGAGGCCTGGCCACTGAGCCCCTGTGAGCTGTGGTGGAAATCAGGCTCCCTGCATATGGGAAGTATGCCTGTGTCACCGTGCCAGGCACACTGAAGTCTTAGAGGGCCTCAGCCTCGTCTTCGGCCCAGCTGCAAGCCTACAGCTGGAGGCGAGGGGCCACGCGGGGCCACCACCTCCTGTGCTCTGGAAAAGCCCATTTTCTTCCATTTTTCTTTACAAACATTTGCTTAGTCTCTTGCCAAGAGAACAGCACAGAATCTAAGCACTGGGACGTCAGAGAAGGCTTTTTCGAAGGAGTGACGGCCTGTGTGTAGGTGTGTTCTATCATTTCCACCAGTTTTTCAAAAACACTGAAAACCGACCCCAGCCCCCGTGATTATTCTGGAGGACCCCAGGCTTGAGAACTGCTGGTTTCAGCCCTGGATCAATGGGACATGTCAACAGGGTCACCGGCTCGCCATATTTCTTTCCCAGTACCCCTGACCACAGCCTCTCTCCCATAAAAATGCCCTTGAAAGGGCAACATTGTATCCCATGACTTAATTAACGCGGATCCAGCCAGCAGAGTTCATCTGACAAGAGCCAGAAAGGGGCCAGGCGACTCTGCCAGCCTACTCCTGCTGGGGGTGGGCCAAGTTCCTGACCTCCACTATCGCACTTAGACCAGCTGGCAGGGCTGGCTTCGTCTGCACACCTCCCAGATGAAGGAGCCTGGGAGTTCAGAGAGGTGGACCGAGTTGGCCTAACGACAAAGCAGCAGAAAGGGAGGAAGCCGGAGCTCAAACCCAGGCTGTGCAGCACAACATCACTGCTTTGCTGTTTCTATCTGAAGTAAATGAAAAGCTTACAAGATTGAAATGGTTCTTTACCTTTTATACAGAAAGCTTAATTTTACATTCTTTAAGATAATTTTGGCCGGCGCCGCGGCTCACTAGGCTAATCCTCCACCTTGCGGTGCCGGCACACCGGGTTCTAGTCCCGGTTGGGGCACCGGATTCTGTCCTGGTTGCCCCTCTTCCAGGCCAGCCCTCTGCTGTGGCCAAGGAGTGCAGTGGAGGATGGCCCAGGTGCTTGGGCCCTGCACCCCATGGGAGACCAGGAAAAGCACCTGGCTCCTGGCTCCTGCCATCGGATCAGCGCGGTGCGCCGGCCGCAGCGCGCCGGCCGCGGCGGCCATTGGAGGGTGAACCAACGGCAAAGGAAGACCTTTCTCTCTGTCTCTCTCTCTCACTGTCCACTCTGCCTGTCAAAAAAAAAAAAAAGATAATTTTTAGAGCAAATCTGCTATATGTTTTGTTTTGTTTTTGACAGGCAGACTGGACAGTGAGAGAGAGAAAGGTCTTCCTTTTCCATTGGTTTACCCCCTAATGGCCCTGCGGCCAGTGCACCGCGCCGATCTGAAGCCAGGAGCCAGGTGCTTTTCCTGGTCTCCCATGCGGGTACAGGGCCCAAGGACCTGGGCCATCCTCCACTGCACTTCCGGGCCAAAGCAGAGAGCTGGACAGGAAGAGGAGCGACTGGGACAGAATCCAGCACCCCGACTGACCGGGACTAGAACCCGGTATGCCGGCACTGCAGGCGCAAGATTAACCTATTGAGCCGCGGCGCCAGCCTGTCTATATGTTTTAATCGTATCACCGTTAAAAAAAATAAACCCAAAAATAGGAGAACAATCCCCCTATTAGAGCCTGTGTCCAATTTTTCATTCAAGCAACATGATAATCTGAGAGCATTCCCGTCCACGTCTCCTCTTGGATACTCCATGGTTCTCAGATAACGTCCTCGGAGTGACCCAGAACCCACACAAGTCTTTGGGACAACATCCCCCGTTCTGTGGGACAAGCTCAGGCCAGGGCTATTTCAGAGAACCTTGAGAGGAGCATAGGGAGGGCACTGTGGCATAGCAGGTAAAGCTGCCACCTGCAGTGCCGTCATCCCATATGGGCGCTGGTTCCAGTCACCGCTGCTCCAATCAATCCAGCTCTCTGCCATGGCCTGGGAAAGCAGTGGAGGAAGGCACAAGTTCTTGGGCCCCTGCACCGGCATGGGAGACCCGGAAGAAGATCCTGGCTCCTGGCTTCAGATCAGCCTAGCTCTGACCGCTGTGGCCATTTGGGGAGTAAACCAGCAGAGAGAAGACCTCTCTCTCTGCTTCTGCCTCTCTCCAATTCTGCCTTTCAAATAAATAAATAAACCTTTAAAAAAAAAAAAAAAAAAAGAGGAGCATTAGGATGCCACGGCCCTTACTGTCAGGCAAGATCAAGCGAAGCCTACTCTGCCAGTTTGCTCAAATAACAGGAAAGACAAGACACTGCTGGAGGACAAATCTGGGGACCTGGCAGGAAAGGCTGCAAACCCTGAAATGGGCATCTTCACCACTGTTTGCTCACGCAAGCATTTCAATTTTGAAAGCAACCACCCGAATGGACATGACGCTAGCTCCCGGAGACTGGGTTCTGCCAGCTGTTAGAGGAGGCTAAGTGGGCCTTCTGACTTCTCCAGGCTCAGAACAAAGCCAAGACAACATTCTTGCCCTTCGGCCGCCCGGGGAGCCAGGAGAAAAAGATTAAAAGGGAGACACCTGCCCACCTGAGGAACCACACACAGAGTGAATACTCAGCTGGAGCACTGGGTCAGAGTAGTATCTATAAAACCAAGTGGAATCTATAATACTGTGGCCAGCGTTGTGGTGCAGCAGGTTAAGGCGCAGCCTGGGACAACGGTGTCCCACCAGAGTGTGGGTTCGAGTCTCAGCTGCTCCACTTCCCATCCAGTTACTTGCTAATGCGCCTGGGAAAGCAAGGGATGACAGCCCAAGAACTTGGGCCCCTGCACCCACATAAGAGACTTGCATGGTGTTCCAAGCTCCTGGCTACCGCCTGGCCCAGCCCAACTGTAGTTGCAGCCATTTGGGGAGTGAATCAGCAAAAGGAAGCTCGCTCGCTCTCTCTGCAACTCTCAAATAAATAAGCCTTTAAAAAAGAAAATAAAGTGTTCAATACTCATTCACCTTGAAGGAAAATTTATCCACAGATCTAAAACACACGCACACCAAAAAAAAAAAAAAAACCTGCCACAAGGGGATGATGAGTGGCCAACACACGCACGTGTATACAGCGTAGCTAAGAGGTCTAACAGGACAGCTTCTAACTGGAAGGCATTTCTATGTTTAGGCAGTGCCTTCCAGAGCTAAGGAAAGATCCATATCTGCCTAAGTGTCACTCACCAAACTGAGAAAACGTGGTTCCAATTTAAAACTCCCAGAGACAAATCTTTGCCCGAACAGCCTTGACAGTAAGAATCCCCCACCACAGAGAAATTTCCCTGGATTTTTTAATGCATAGAACATGCTTATTCGTAAAGAAATCCCCTTTTCCCCCTTCAGAATACATTAAATCTCGAAGACAATTCACATGCTGCGGAAGCTCTTGGCCGGCTCACTTCTCCCAAGCACTACTGTTGACATTCAGCTTCCGGCAGGAGACAGGGGTTCAGTAGGGGTGTAGGGGGTACAGTAGCAGCTTCTGACCTTGAACCCCTGACGCTGGCAGAATTCTACTCCTACTTCTGGGTACAGCTGGAGAGACTGATTTGTTCTGTTGCATACAGGCAGGCGACAACTCTATTAGCAGGGTCTAACCGCCAAGTGCAAATGAATCCCACTTCATCAAAAGCTCAAAGAGGAGTACAGAGACATTTTAACTGCGTGGGTATTGTGGGCACTACTTGTGTGTTGTTATTTTAGCTGATTTCCAACAAGTCTCTGCAGGAGAGAGAGGAAATGAACTGTGGACACTCGCCTTACCCAGAGAAGGGTGGGGAGGGGGCACCGCCATGCCAGCCCGCTGCAGGCAAGAGTTAGTGATGCTAACCAATGTCGATCAGGGAGAAAAAAATGCAAAAATGAAGAGCAGCAAATGACGTCCCATGCGGCAGAGTACCCGCGGCTGAATCTGCTCGTGCATTAACATCCCGACATTGGGAGTGTGTGCAGAAGACAGCATCAGGATCCTCGTGAAAGGGAAGCGTCTCTCAGTTCCTCTTTTCCCTGCTAAACCCAGACATCTGATCTTTAATCCGCGGGAGGAGAGGGCCGGCAACTCTCCTGACTACCTACTCGGTACCTGGCACACGAGGTCTCATCTCACACGGTGGCTTCCAGGAGTTCCCCGGGACCCCTGGGGGAGGCTCCGTCTGTGCTGGGTGACCTGCTTTGCTCCCGCCACTGCAGACACCCACACTGCTGCAGACTCCGAGCCACAGCAAGGCTCAGAAGATCAAGGGACCAGTCGCAGCAGCCTTTTTAACTTTGGGAAAACCCAATGCTCACTTCACTCAAACGTCGCAAAGTGGTGCCATGACCCTTTAGCTCTTGGCTCACCAATTCAAAGAGCCACATCACATACAGCCCTGACGCTGCCCACGGCATGATTCTGTGTCTAGTTCCTTTCCAGGTCCCCCCCCAAGCGGAAGACAGTTCTGGCAGGGAGTCTGGGCAAGATTACTACAACATCCAGCCTTTGTCCCTTCTTTCGCTCCGTCTTCTCGTGGAATGAGACACCGGGCCTCGGAGATGGAGTGCTTCAGCCTATGCAGGACTGGAGACCTCTACTCAGCAGGTCTCCGCCGGGGCCTCGGGTCAGCTTCATCTGGCCCTGGCATCTCCATTTTAAAGATGAAGAAACCGGGGTTCAAAGAAAGAAAAGCAGGGTCCCTCCCTCGGAGAGGGGTGGAAGGCCTGGGGCAAACTGAACCCCAACCCAGGCTTCTTGCCTTGGTGAACATACTGGGCTCCTGGGAGGGAACCGGGGCAGAACACAAGAAGCCAAGATTCATTGCCCTAATTAAGCGCTGTGAATGCAAACACACAAGCACATCCAGCTCTGGGCTGCAGTACCCCCTTTAAGTAAAGCAGGGAGGAAGGTGACACTGGTGACATCCAACGCTGCTTTTCAGCTCTGAAACTATATGAAACCGCAGGAGGACACAATCGTGAGCGGGTGCGAATATACACGTCTACATCGTTTGTATGAATACACGTACGGCACATGTCATACTTATGACATGCTACAGTTAAACACCACCTCCCCCCACGCATTTCGTCCCAGCACCTATGTTTTGCAGATTCCAAATCAGGGAGGGATAAGGGTCAACATTCCAGATCCCAGGAGGCCGGCTGGCATCTCTCCCGGGACCTAAGGCAGAGAATGACAAGGAAGCGCAGGGTCCCGTCCTGGACACACCCCCTCATTCAATTCCTTGGGGAGAGAGCTAAGGCGAAGCAGCAGGGCCGGGCTGCGGGGGCCAGGGCCTGGCGCCAGCCGCACAGGCACAAAGCGACGGACCGCCCGGGCTCCAGTCTGGGGCCCCCAAGGTGCCCAGTGGGCAACGCACGCCCACGCTCGGACCAAGCCTGGCTCCCAGCCCACGTGGGAGAGCCGGCTGGCCTGTCCCGAGCCGGCAACCCTGGAAACGTGCATCCGCAACTTGGCTCGTCCGCCCCAACGCACGTGGCCCGGAGCGGGGCGGAAACGCGCGCCGCCTCCGCGCCCTGCCCGCCCCCTCGGCCGCCGGCGCTAGGACCCCGCACGCCACGCGCGCTTCCTCCCGCCGCGCCCCGAGCCGCCGGCGCGGCGCCCCCGGCCGCCCCCGCCGCCTACCTGGCGAAGCAGTAGTCGCAGTGGTTGCCCCGCTCGTTGACTGTGAGCACGTAGGCGTAGGCCGGGCAGGAGAAGAGCAAGTCCCCGACCTGGAAGGACCGCAGGGCCCGCAGCCCCCGGCCTTTGCCCGGGCTGCAGAAGCGCTCCAGGCCGCCGTGGCCCTCGGCCCGCATGGTGGCAGCGAAGCGCGCGGCTGCGCTGGGCTGGGCGGGCGCGCAGGGGCGCGGGCGCCGGCTGTGCCGGGCGCGGCGGCTCCCCCCCGAGCTGTTATTGGAGCCGCGTCACCCCGAGCCGCGGGGGGCGGGCTGGGACGCCGCCCGCTCCCCGGAAGGGACGGCGGCCCCGCCCGGGCCTCGCGCGCCCCCGCGGGGAGGGGGGCAGTCGCGCGGCCCCGCCCCGCGCACGCGGGACCCCCCGGCGGCTGCCCCGCACGCACTCGCTCCCGCTTCCGGTGTGGCGGCCACAAAGAGCCGCGGCGCGAGCGACTCTAGCCGGGTGGCGCGGGGCGTGGGTGCGGCGGACTGTGTGCCTCGCCGCGGGGCCGGACGGGGTCGTCGCCCCCTGCCCCGCCCCGGGGCCACGCTGCCGAGGGTCTGGGCCGGACCGTGCGTGGCCCGGCGCAGGGCGTGACCCGCCCTTGGGCCGGGGGAGGGGGCGAGGACGTCTCCCAAGCTGGGGTTCCCGGGTCCGTGTCGCAGACCCTAGGAGGACCGGTGGGGGAGCAGGCTAGCAAAGTTCGCGGCGCTGAGGGCGAAGGGCTGTGGTTTCCTGAGGCGCTCAGGTGAACCTCGGCGGCCCGCGGCCCGGGTAGCGGAAGTGGCCTCAGCCGAGGGACGAAGCGGCGTTGGCCCGCCCAGCTCCCTGGTCGCTGCACCCCGGGAGCCCCGCGCGGGGAGCCCGAGACACCTGGCCTTCAAGGAACTTGAGCCCTTGCCGAGGCCAGAGCCCTGCGCTGGAATTGGCCGTGATTTTCATGGGTTTGACCGCGTCCCCGCTGTGAGCTCAGAAAAGTCGATAATCAGGTAATGAATCACCTGGAATTGAAAGCGTCGACAGCGCCCCCTCTACCCACCCCCCCACCACCACCACACACGTATTTTTCATATGAGAAGGTCCCAGGTGGCAATAAGGGCTGCGATTGATGCACATGCAGACTCCAATAAAGTAGGAAGGGATCATTGAACAGAAACCCTTTCCTTCAAGTGTCTCGAACTGTGTGGTCCCTGGGAATTCAGGCCTGGTTTAGTAAAGGGAGAGGAGTGATGCAGACCAAGTCGTGAGCTCAGTGGGAGTTTTGGCACTTTAGTAAAATTCCTTATGGTTGGGCCAAATGGGCATGCCTGAGCCCTCATGATTATGGTTTCATGTATGCATTTTAAGAAGCATTGACTAGGGCTAGCCACGGCCATCGAAAGGTGGAGGAGAGGTAGCCCTGGGTTCTTGATTGGACAGTCAACACCAATGACGATTGCCATCAGTTACTAAGTTTGTGGGTAGGCAGTTGCTCTAAGTCGCTAAGCACCTTATCTAATCCTTAGAACAGCTGGGTGAGTTCGGTGTTACCTCCCACATTTGCGATGCTAGGAAACCAAGACTCAAGTCACTGACACAGTACATTGCAGACTTTGATTATAAAGTTGGTCTGAATTCAAGGCCCATGCCCCTGATCGCTATGTGCTTTTGCAAACCCAGGTCCCTGGGGTAAGTGTTCCTAGGTGGTTTGTCCAAAATGTTCTGTGGGGGGAGCACAGGCAGTGAATGACAAATAGAGCCTGGGGAAGAGCAAGGCAGAAGCCACCTGCAAGCTACATGCGTGCGGAGCCTGAATGATGGACAGCATTTTGCAAGTGGCTGAGGGAAGAGAGGGTTCCGGGCAGGGACAGCCACATACAAGGACAGAGGACTGCAAGGACAGAGGATGGTTTGAGTCCTCTGAGCAGCTCTTACAAGAGTGTGGGTCCTGAAGGAGAGGTCAGGAGGTGAGGCAAGGACCGTGGAAGGCAATCTTGTCCAGAGGTGAGATTCATCCCAGAGGCCGAGGAAAAGCCACTGGCAGTGTCCAAGCAGAGGGGCATCATGCTCAGTCCAGTGGTTTAGACTGAGTTTTTCTGGCAGCACTGCAGATGGATGGAAAGAGGAGAGGTTGAACCCAGAACCACCAGTTAAAGGAGCATTTGCTGTTTTAAAATCAAGGGTGAAGAAAGCTGGACTCAAGGCAGTGGCTTCAGGAAAAGAGACAAAGATGTCAAGAGTCATTCCAGCTTCTTGCTCAGGCATGGAGTCTCTCTATGTGGGGAGACGTGAGGCCAGTGGACACTGCATTGTGCTGCCTTTTAGCTTTAGCCCGACCAGCTTTCCAGACTCGAGGTAGCAGCGCTATCCCAGAAGTTTTAGAATGGAACAGGCATTTTCCTACTGATGAGGAAGGCGAAGCCCCTGATGTTTGGTGCTTTGCCTCAACACAGAACTAGCAGGAGAGTCCATGACATGGAATGAATTTATTCAGCGTCTAGGTATGTATTCCGTGCTCACTGTGTTCCAGGAACAGTGTTAAGGGCTGACGATGCTGTGGAAACATCCCTGCCTTCACAGCCTTGTGTGCTATGGGGAGGATGCAGAGGTTTAATCAGACCCTCCCACAAATGAGTGCAAGCTCTCGGTGGTCTCGAATACCAAGGCAGTGCTTAGGGGATTCAACCGAGTCTGGGAGAGGAAGAACACTTGACCTGAGATCCAAAGGATGCGTAAAGCTTAGCCAAGAGAGGTGAGGAGGGACAGGCATTCTAAGCAGAGGGCACGGCATGCGCAGAGTTCCACTGGTTGGAAGGAACAGGTGTGACCTGGATGAAAGACTGAGAGTGACTGGAGCGGAGCTGGAAAGAGAGTGTGGCTCCGGGGGATGTTGGGAAGTAAGCAGGTCTTCTCGGCCAGGCTGTTGGAGTTGACCCTGAGCAGTGAGAAGCTTCTGCCAGCTCCAGGCCACCATATGAGACGAGCTTTGCTCCAGTAGCATGACCTACATCGATTCTGACAATTGCTTTTCGATAATATATGTAAAGGGGAGGATTAGAAGTTTCTGAACATCTGCTTACTTAGGCAAATCTTGAATACTTTTTTGAAGTTTATAGCTTTTTTTTTCTTTTTTTACATTCTGATTTCAACTCCAGCCAGCAAGAAAAGACTGACATGGAAGTAATGGCATAATACAGACTTGTAATGCAGTAGACAATATACTGTCTCAGATATGAACTGTGCGAAGTGATCTACTTGTTTCCTTTTCTGTAATTGTAACTTATGTTTTTTGGGGGGAATACTGGAACAATAGTGGGGTGACAGACTTGTTTTCTCAGGTGCGCGGTGGCTGCAGCAGGCTTATCCCTGTGGGTGGAGGTGACAGTGACTTGAGAACACTGGAAAAGAAACAGCCTCATTTCGGAAAAATCCCCGTGCTGAACTTTAGTAACCCGAGCTGGGGGAAATGGTCCGTGAGGCAAGAGCCACGAATGTGGGAGCTTAAGTTACGACGAAAACTGTGTTTAAAATAAACGGCCGAGGGATGGCCACGAGCCAGCAGGGGCCAGCCGATGACAGCGCTCTTCATGAAGCTCATGCTTGTCACTCTGCCACTCTGCATTCTCACATTCCGTGAAAGAAGCCCTCGAGCTGCAGGGCCCAGCCGCCTGCCACACTGCCGTGGCTCGGCAGGGTTCGAGTTTGGAAGGAGGTTTTTCGGTTCCTTTTGCGTCCCTGAAGCTCAGGAGAAGCGTCACAAAGATGAAGATCCCTGGTGCGGAATTTCTCTAACCTACAGGTTGATCTGATTCATGAGTAAAATATCCTTCTGGTGACAGGTTGGCACATGAAAGAAATAGCTGAGGCCTAAGGAAATAAAGCCTTAGCAAAGGAGGTGAGCATGGACGAGGGTCCTGTACCCTGTACCACCGTGCCTGTGCATCCAGTTCATCGATTAAGTGCCTGTAATGAGACAGACCCCTTGTAGATAAAAAGACCAGCATGCACATAGACAGTTGTGAAGCAGCTGAGTAATGACAACCAACACTGGGTTCCAGTCCCCGCAGCCTGTAAATGTTACCCTCCACGGCTTGAAAAGGTCTTAGAGATACTTGTGCTAAATTAAGGAGCTCGAGCTAGCAAGGCGAGCCTAGATTATCCAGGTGAGCCCTCAGCGCAGTCACAAGTGTCCTTATGAGAAGAGGCAGAAGGAGATTTGACACTGACAGAGGAGGAGGAGGCGGAGATCAGAGTGATGTGGCAATAAACCAAGGAATGTAGCAGTTCCCAGGAGCTGGAGGAGGCCAGGAGTGGATTTTTCCCTGGCGCCTGTGGAGGGGTGCCTTGCTTGTAGCCCAAGGATTCTGATCTCAGGCTCCTGGCCTCCAGAACTGGCAGAGAATAAATGTCTGTTGTTGGAGCCAGCCCATATGTGGTAGTTTGTCACGGCAACTGGAAACTAATGCAGATTACCCCTGATAAAATTTTAATAGAGAGCTGAACAAAGTGCAACAGAAGGGCGTCAGAGAGGGTCTGACATTTTAACTTCTACAAGAGAGCATAAAGATCAGCTGAGGGAAACGGGTTCCTTGAATGGGTTTCAAACACTCATGATGCAAATTACAGGGTTAGGAGAGACTTCAATCTACAGTGCTACTTCAAAGAGTTCATGGGAAGTGGAATTAAAAGGATAAATTTTTAGGCATTTCGTCTAGTGGTTAAGATGTCTGCATCTCAAATCAGAGTGCTGGGTTCAGTACCTAACTCCAGCTTCTTGCTAATGTCAATCCTGGGAGGCAGCATGATGGCTCAAGTAATTGGATCCCTCCCACCCAGCTGGGAGGCCTGGATTGAGTTCCCAGCTTCTGGCTTTGGCCCAGCCTAGTCTTAGCCATTGCAGACATTTGTTAGAATGAACCAGCTGATAGAAGCACATGCATGCTCTCAAATAAACAAACACTTTTTAAAAAGGTAAATTTATATTGGTGCACAAATTTTTTTGAAATCTACAGTTTCTTCATAATATGCATTTTCTGTAAACAGTTTGAAGACCGCTGCATGGATTTCATAAAAATTTTTTTAACATTTATATTAATTTGAAAGGCAGAATTACAGACAGAGAAAGAGAGACCCACAGAGAGATCTTCCATCCACTGGTTCACTCCTGAAGTGGCTGCAATGGCTCCAGGCTGAGTCAGGCCAAAGTCAGGAGCCAGGAGCTTTGTCCAGGTCTCCCACATGGGTGCAGGGGCCCAAAAACTTAGGCCATCTGCTGCTGTTTTCCCAAGTGCTTTAGCAGGGAGCTGGATCAGAAGTGGAGCAGCTGGGACTTGAACTGATACCCGTAAGGGATGCTAGGACCGCAGGCGGTGGCTTAAACCTCTATGCCACAATGCTGGCTCCCTGCAACAAAATGAATTTGTCTTTTAATTCTATTTTTCATTAACTTTTTGACATACCCTTGTATATTTATATAGCTCCCACTGTGTACCAGGTGCACCTTTTAGTGCCTATTTAATCCTAGTGGCATTTTCTAGATGAGGATGCTGAATGATAGAAGTTAAACCACTTGTCCAAGCCAAGTTGGATTGTCTGGCAGTGAGTCCCTGCCCTGGGCCACTGCACTGTGCTGCAGCTCTGGCCAGAGCTACAGCCCTAGGTAAAGGGTGTCAGGGCGAAGGTGGCTGGACAGGAGTGAGCCCCATGCTGAAGACCATAGGCATAGGAGTTCCATGGCACTCTGCAGGCACTGTGGAGCCAGAGGAGAATTTTGACTGACATGATCAGATTTTTCTATGCAAGGGTCATTTTCATGACTGAATAGAGAGTAAATTAGAAGGGGCTTGGGAGGTGGAGGAGAGAGAGAGAGAACTGGAGTTGATGCCGTAGACGGTCTGGAGGAGGGAGGTTGCTGGTATGAACAAGCGCCAGGAAAGTAGCAATGGGGAGGACGGATATGGAGGTGAAGAGCTTTTCCTGAGCAGGACTTGTGACTGGAGGGGGAGGGGAGAGAGGAGAAGGAGACCGTGAGCCCTGCAGGACTAGGACAACTGGCACTGCCACCACTCAGCCCCCCACCCCCACCCCGTTCATTTGCTTCTCACCATGGGCCCTGTGTCTGTTCCACAAAAAAGGTCTTGCTGTTGCATCTTTCACCGTGTTTTGTTCAGTCTCCTTTCCTTCCCGTTCTCACGTGTTTGGCTGTTAAGGCCTCCTGCCTGGATTATCCTCAGCAGGGCAGGGGGACATTTGGAGAAACCAGTCGAGGATGTTGCATGCGGCTCCATGCTTCCTGTCGTGCCCCGTCCTTTCCTCCTGGTCGGTCAGCAGCATTGACCCGGGAAGATGATATTGCAGAGGAACAAAGACAAGACTCGGGCTTCAAAAGCCTAGGGGTTGGGGTTGCAAAATCCTCAAGTTTCAGAGCACTCTGGCTCCAACCGTGGCAGATTCACGATGATGTACAACCGGAGACTCACTGGGCCCAGGAAACGTTGCCCAGGCCTAGAGTAAAGGGAGAGTCGGAAGGCAGGCCAGAGAGAAGTTGGGCCGGGCCAACTTTTCTGAGACAAGGGCATAGATCATAGTCTGTTTCCAGACTGAACGCTGGGGTAACATCACTAAAACCCTCCTTGGGCCTGAGAGGATTCAGAGCCAAGATAACCCATGTCTGGTCTCACATAGGCCCCAGAGGCCCCTGTGTAGTGGAATCAGTTGTTTGGGAGATGGGAGAAACCTTTCAGGAGGCAGCAGGAGCCTTTGAGTGGGCAAGTGAGCTGTCAGCCGTGATGGGAATGTGTGCCACTCCCCACTCTCCCAAATCCCTGTGCTGGAATCCTCATCTCGAAGGCCCGGTTTTAAAAGGTGGGGTCTTGGGGCAGGATCTTTAGATGGCAGGGTGGAGCTCTCAGGAATGGGATTAGTGTCCTGAGGGGGCTGACCTGCCCCTCCCGTCTCGGAAGGACCCAGTGAGAAGGGGCTGTGTATGAGCCCTCCATTCAGAGAAGGAATAAACCGTTCTGGGCAGTGAATCCGTGGAGAGCTTAAATTCATCAGTATCTTTGCTGATCAGCATATTTATTCCAAGGTCGCTACAAACAACCGAGGCCAGGGTGTTGCTGTTGTGTTAGAGGGGGTATGTTGTTAGGTGACTGCTCTTGTGACTGCTTTTGGGATTGTGTGTGTTGCCCGGGGGTGTCTGTGGATCTCCATGGCCACAGGCACCTGGGAATGCTCTGCTGTTTGGCAAGCACAGGTGTGGACCTGAACAGAAATAAACCTTTGCTAGCAGACCGCCGCACTGCAAGCACAAACACCTGAATGCATAATACACAGTATGAGCTGCAGCCCTTCAGCTGCATTGCAGCAGTTCTGCCGGGGCAGAGTAACCCCAGAGGGAGCAACTAGACGTGGGCGGGGGTTAGGGAAGGCAGAGAAGCCATCCATAAATACGTGAGGGTCAGGTCCATCGATTCTTAAACCACCAGCCATGTCTCCTTGTATTGGGGAGAATTTGGGGGTGGGGGGTGGCGCGTAAGCTAATTTTTGTCCTGATTTATACACTACAATAGTGCTGACTACGTACAAACAATTGCATAAAAAAAGGCAACAAAGACCCAAGGGAAGACCCGATTATTAACAAGTTTGGTCCTGATCTAGACTTGGGAGCTTTTTAAATTTTATCTCTGGAAACTACAATTACTTGTGTTCTATCTTGCAAAAAAGAAAGCACTGAACACAACACAGTTCCTGAGTCCTGCAGATTTCTCTTTCATTGAGAACTATTAATAGCTTTCTTATTTTTATTTTTGGGGAGGCAGTGTCATCTAGTGGCTGAAAGGGGGGGGCTGGGTACAGAATTTGACTTTACTGCCAAAGGCTCATGACCACGAGTAACACCCATGATGCCAGATTTTCATTACTTTCTACCCTGTAAAATTCCCATCGGTGTTATGCAGAGAAGTGTCAGAGAAAGAAGAGGTGAGCTGTGATATTGCAAGCTTTGAAGCCATATTCTACCTGATTTAATCTTGCAGTGTGGTGTATTTCTCCTATCAGAGGAGAAAAGTGCAGAAGAAAAAAGTTGACAACTGAGAGTTGAAGAAGAATACATGCAAAAACTGAACATGGCCAAATATCAATTCATGCAAAAGCTAAATGTGGTCGAAAGTTGTCATCTTCAGTAGGAGCCGTTGCAACACTTTTAAATACATCATTGGATTAATTCTCTTTCCTGACAACACTTAAACCAGAAAAAGGGGATTTCTCACTGGCTTGATAACAAATGGATCTATACAGCATTATGTTTAAATGCAGCTAATTTAAGACCTAAGTAATTGTTGGAATGGCCATACCAGCTTGAACACAACCTGAGCTCCTGTGATCTTGGAAGATAAGCAGGGTCATGCCTGGTTAGTTCTTGGATGGGAAACATGAGTGATTGAAGTTTGGGAAACCTGGGAAGAAAGATTTTTAGGATCATTTTAAAGATTTATTTATTTGAAAGGCAGAGCTACAGAGATGGGGGGAGAGAGAGAGAGAGATATCTTTCATCTGCTGGTTCACTCCCCAGATGGTCTTAATGACCAGCTGAAGTCAGATCATTTTAGTTTTAATATTTTATTATTTAAATTAACCAGAAAATCGCCTTTGCCCCACCAAATAATGTTAGACCTCATTCATATACTTGAATCCTCTGAACCATTTCTCGACAGCTGTCTGAGTGCTTGACTGCTTTTTTGGGGTATCTGGGGTGTTTTCCTATAGGGGCTAGAAGAATGGTGCCAGTGCCCACTGAAGTGTTCACCCATCTGCAGCAAAATGAGAAAAAACGCAATCTACCACTTGTGTTTGTAAAGCTAAGCCAACTGAAAGGACTTACAATTTTTTTTTAAAATTCAGACATTTTTAAGGTTAGACTAGCTTTTCTTTTTAAACAGTGGAGACTGTCCATCGTATTCTCTTTCATGTTCTTAACAAAATAAAAATTGTCAACCCTCTGTGGATACCATCCCTTTCAAAAAATATATTTGTCTATGGCGTTTAGAGGCATGAATATTATGAATGGCATTATGGTGTCATAACAGAGACTCTGAAATTATTCCTTAGTACAGATCATTGAGTCTTCAGATACATTTATGCTAACTGTTCAGAATCATGACATGTTGATTTCTTTTAGGGCTCAGTCATGGATACTAGTGTACATCTTCATCACTTGATACATCACATTGTTGAGGATTAAGAAAGGTAAGGCCACATGCTATTGCATAGAAACTATTGTTTCTTTAAAGACATGTTAAAATTTTCTGTCCAGACTACACTTTGATTATTTTTGGAAAAGAGAATCGGCACTTTTAGTATCAGTCTTATTAGCACTACAAAGTATTTAACCAAGTATTTACTGACATAGTTTTATTGAATCTTATTTTTTTCTTTGATAGTAAGTGATTTATTTATGTTACCCAGGGTACTAAGGAAACAAACTAAGAAAAAATTTACAAGGAAGGCCACTGATTTTATTTGCTCTATAAGCTGTATGTATTAATTTTATAAAGTTTAGGGAACATATATAAACCCAGTAATTATGTGTAAAGTTTTTGTTGTAGATCCTTCTATACTTTTTTAAGCATGTGTAAATATTTTACAACAAAATGGAATTATATTGTATGTGCTGTTTTATAATCTTGTTTTTCAGCTTAAAAAATAACATTGTAAATCTTTTTCCATGGCATTAAATATTTTTCTACCTCCTCCTAATGGCTTCATATTGTGATATTCTTTTATGTACTATCATCTATTTAATGCCTTGGTGTTGGATCCTATTGATGTCTGATTTTTCTTCTTTTATTATATTGAAATGAGCATCTTTGTCAACTTAAATCTTTATTTGCATTCTTGAATAATTTGCTAGGCTGAATCCCAAAAGTAGAATTGCTGGTAAAGCATATAGAAATTTGTAAGATGATACTTTGCATGGAACTGACATAAAATGTATGTATTTATTTATTTGGTTATTTACTTATTATAATGTTTGCAACCCACGAAGAAGATAGGAAAAATAATTTAACTCATTTCCTATAACTCCCTGCATTTCACTTAATTTCCAAAAAGTTTCACCATAGCTCATCTGAGACAGTTTGGATAAAATTTTCACATTTGGATAAAGGGATCCAACTATCATCTAGTCCAAAAGCTTTCTTCCATAGTTGAGGAAATTGATGCTGAAATCACTGTGTGTTCTGTCCACAGTCATGACTAACAAGGAGCAGAGTTATCCAGTCTTATACTTGGGTGCTCTCTTATCCTCCCAAGATGCTCTGGAAAGTTTAAGTTAGCTATCCAGGTAGCACTTGAGAATATAGGTGCAAAATTAAATGGACTCTCACATGTGTTTCACTGTTAATTTTGTTGTTACTGTGATTAATAAGGTAGAATGTCTAAAAATCATTTTGTGATTAAAATGCTTAGCCCAAATAAGCACCAAATGTTTGGTTTATTATCTGTTATTTTATACCAATGGCTCCCAAGTGTCATGTAATTCCATTCAGTGCTGCTTATATGTTTTTGTTAGAAATGGAAATAGCCTTTCTGACTAAATCAGGCATACTCATTGTAAAAATAATAATAAAAGTAAAAATGTGAAATGTCAAGTGAAAAACCATGTAATTCCACCAACCAAAGATTGCTACATAACTTTTTGCTATGTATCTGTGTCATCTTTTATAGGCATATCAAAAGAGATCATATGAAATTTCATACTATCCCATAATCTGCTTTTTCCTACATGTCAGGGACATCTTTTAATGTCAATGAATATGGAACCATACCATAATTTGTAGGGGCTACATGAGTTTTTGTTGTACTATCAATTATTTGTTTAACCAGTCTCCGGCTTATGGTCATGAGGATTGTTTGGGAGTTTTTAACTAGTCCAAACAATGCTGAAATCTTTAAAACAGTGTTTAAATATCTCAAACTACTTTCCTTTTAGAAAATATTACTGATAACATTATTTCGTGGAGGTTCACAGTACATATTTCTGTAATAAGCAGATATACTGAACACCTACCACTGATGCTGGGTTTTGGGGATTCATGTTTTAATGACTCTAAAAATTCTTACAGTTAGGAAACTTCTTAAATTTTGCTCAAGGTAGATTTCCAGACCTTTTTTTTTTTTTTTTTAATCATGGAACCACCTCTTTTTAAGACCAAATAGCTACTAATATTTCACTAGTCTTATCTAGAAGAGAATTTCAATACTACTACTGTATATGAATCTTGTTGATAACTACTAATTAAGTACCTGTACCTACCTTTTATTTTTCTGCAAAATCTGAACAAATCTTAGGAATTATTTAAAGGAAAGATATGTTTTGGATATTTCCAAAGAATACATCTTTAATATAAATTGCCACATTAACTTCCCAAATAAGTAGTATTTTGGTTTGGCTATTTTGGTGGGAACACTGGAGTTTTTTATGTAAATGATGTTCATGTTGTAACAATAAAAGGGCCACATGGACATTAAAAGAGGATGTGGGATATAGTTTTTGACGTGTTGGTGGATTCTTGGGGGCTGCAAAGCCGTGAACTCCCAGAGAGAAAGAGCATAGACTAAGGAGGAAGGAATCAAAGAGAGAGAGGAAATTATTAAGAAGCATTAAGGAGGGAGGTTATGAAGACTATACAGTAACATGGAAAATAATTAACAGGAAATATGTTCTCAAAAAAGGTCACAGAATCCTATTCGAAATCTATAAAATCCAAGAAGAAAAAAAACACACAATAAAATAATAGCGTTTGGATTGGGTCCTTTTTCCTCCTTTTCTCTAATTACCGTTTTCATTTTATTTTTAAAATCTATCATAAAATTGAAAAGAAGAGACATACTAAAGGATCAGACAAAATTAGGAGAAGAGAGGCTTATGGAGGAGGAGGAAGATCGTGGTTGAGTCGCACAAAGGCGACAAATAGATGAAAGTGAGTAGGGATGGGAGAGAGAAGGTTCAGTTGGCCTGGAGGAGATCATTAATGGCTCAAGTGCTGTGAAGTGGACAAAAGCCAGTCTGTAGTGGGGTCAGATGAGAGAGCCAGAGAAGAATAATTTTTTAAGGACCTAGGATCATAATAATTCACTTAGAGGTTCCCCCCAGCCACTCTTACTTTAGTTCTGGTTTTATCATGTTGGGATTTTGCCTATATCAGTTTTTTTTTTTTCCTCCAGAAGCTGATAAATGAAAACCTTAAAAAAGAAATCCTATGAGTAAGTTTCTTTGCCCTTATTTTTGAACTGAAAAATAAAGAAATGATAAATTCTCTTTCTGAGCTATTCTATGTGCTAGAAATGCTACCATATAGAAATCTTCTTAATATCCTCTGTGCATGCCGTTTTAAAACAGAAGAACTTGGTCGCCCAAGGTCATTTCGGATGCCTTTTTTCCTAAGTGATTTGTGTATATTTTATCCATAAAAGACAAATTATTATGAAAGGATATGAAATATAGGTTTAAGAAACTCAAAGAACAAAGTGCATTCTTTGCTCTTTGAATTTCTTAAAATTAAGTTCTTAAGACTCCTGCTGCTTACCTTCAAACAAGCCACCTTGAAACTGCTCTATGAAACCTGGGTAAAGGACGAACCAAAGAGTTTCACTTATTTAAAAAAAAGCACATGGGAGTGGGAGGGAGAACATTCCAGTCTTCTAGTATCCATACTTATTAGCTAAATTGGATGCCTGCGGTGGGTCTCTTGGGAGCACACAGTAGCAGCCTCTCTCTATTGCAACTCAGCCAGAAGCATTTATTCCCTAGTAATTAAGGCCAAGGGTACAACCACTGATGCGAATGGAAGCAATTATGTGGATTATTCAGCTTCCTCAACATTTCTCAGGAGTTTGTATGTTTGCGGTTTTCTGATTGCTTCAAGTCCCTGTATTGCTCCCTCTGTTCTCCAGGGCACCATAGGTCTAACCCTTGATAATGACAATAGCTAATACTAAAGTAGCACTTAACTCTCTGCCATGCCCTGGTTTAGCCACTTTACATGTGAGTATTTCAAAAAGTTCATGGAAATGGAATCTGAAGCTAGACTAATTTTGGTGCATAGTTTTTTTTTTTTTTTTTTTTTTCATAAGAAGACTTTCCCACGAGTTTTTTGAAAAACTCTCATGTTGTCATAATCCGTCCATTCCAAATCCTAGGCAGGATAGGTGTTAAGTCCTAGGTCCTCAGAAGCAGCGGTTCCAGTGCAAAGACTGGTCCCTGAGGTGGCCCCAGGAGAGCCCACTAATGGACTGGGAGAAGCAGGACAGCAACAGGGAGCCAGTCAGGAAAGGGTTTGTCTCAGGACAAAGTCCTTCCGGGCAGCGTTATCCCTCAGGGTGACCGTGGGGTGTGGGCTGGGAACAGGAGTGAGGCTTCCATTCTGCTGCACAGTCACTGGCTGACAGCTTCCATGGGTGGTGAGGAAGGGGCGTGTGTGTGTTGTGACAGAGAGAGAGAGATCGATCTGTGGAAGGAAAGTGTCAGGTGCAGAAATACCAACACAATCTGTGACAGGTAGATGCTGTTATTTATCTCCATGTGACAGTCAAGGCCACTGAGTCTTGCCCAAGATCTCAAAGCTCCTAAGTGGCATAGCTAGGATTTGAAACCCTACAGTATGGGGGCCAGCGCTGTGGTGTAGTAGCCTAATCCTCTGCCTGTAGTGCTGGCATCCCATATGGGTGCTGGTTCTAGTCCCAGGTTGCTCCTCTTCTGATCTAGCTCCCTGCTTATGGTCTAGGAAAGCAGCGGAAAATGACTCAAGCGCTTGGGCCCCTGCACCTGTGTGGGAGACCTGGAAGAAGCTCTGGGCTTTGAATCAGCCCAGCTCTGGCCATTGCAGCCATTGGGGAGTGAACCAGCAGATGGAAGACCTTTCACTAATTCTACCTCTCAAATAAATAAATAAGATCTATTTAAAAAAAAAAAAAAAAGAAAGAAAAGAAACCCTACAGTTTGATTCCAAGGGCCCTGTGCTTAACAACACAAGATCATATCTTTATAGGGTGCTATGATACTATCAATACCACAGCAGTTTTTACACTTAGCACACACTATTTTGAAGGTATTCAGTGTCTGAAAATGCTGAAAGTATGGCTGGGATAAAACCATTCACGTCTTGTTGGACTGAATTTCAGCTATCCAAGCCCCCAAACCTAAGGCAGGCTCAGAGAGCAGACTAAACATTAGACAACTGGTGTAC